GTATAAGAACAAAGAAAAACTGAAGTTACAAAACAGCAGCAGAATCACAGAACCCAGGAATGGACTAACAGTTACCAAAGGGAAAGGAACTGGGGAGAATGGGAGGGTAGGGAGGGTTAAGGACGGGAAAGAAGAAAGGGGGTATAATGATTGGTATGTATAATGTGGGGGGTGGGGGAAAGGGGAGGGCTTTGCAACACAGAGAAGACAAGTAGTGATTCTACAACATCTTACTATGCTGATGGTCAGTAACTGTAATGGGGTGTGTGGGGGGGACTTGGGGTAGTGGAAAGCCTAATAAATATAATGTTCTTCATGTAATTGTAGATTTATGATAAAATAAAAAAATTAAAAAAAAGAATAAGACACAGACATGAAAACTACAAGTATAATTTTATTCTAATAGACACTTAAGTTTAAAGAGAAGGTCACAAAGGAAAAGGTTCTCAAAGTTACCTGGAGGAGTCAGGAAAGGATGGGGTGAAAATTTACTCTCCTTGAAACCCAAGCCAAATATTGCATCTCAAAAAGTAGTAGATAAAATGGAAATCCTAGCTCTGTTCAAAGATTACCTATCACTAAACGCTTTTTACATTAATTGTGAAATAATCACGTTAAATGGAACATAGTTCAAAGCCCGAACCAATTGAGAAGTTGATGCACTGCAATTAAGATACTAGAGAAATATCAAATAGGCACCAAGAGCTTGATTTCTATTCTTGTTCCATGTAAATTTTCTGTAAGAACTATGAAAAAACACTTAATCGTCTCTGGACTTCTGTGTTCTCTTCAATCAAATAGAAATGAGAATAATATCCAGTCTATCTACCTACTCCCCAATGCTACTGAAGAAGCAAGGGAACAACAGACGTGCAAATGGCCTGAAAAAGGAAACAAACCACTTCACAAATACAGGGTGAGACCTCAGTTACTAGGATTATAAAACACACTTTTGAATGGTTCTTCACAAAGCAAAAAGATGGTACCTCTTTCATTATGTTTGTTTATTTTTGCTGAAGGTAAATCATGTTCCTCATAAATTTAAAAGCTATGAGTATGTACAAGAAAACATCTCTGAGGTAGACAACATCCAAAGTTTAGGATGCATTTATTCCTTCACTCATTAATTCAGTCTGTCAACAGATACATATTGAGCCATAAACAAAATGTTGTAAAAATAAATTATGTGAGGTGTTATGGAAGATTCAACCATATATGAAATGATCTATCCTTAAGATGCTTACAATCTAAGACATTTTCAGAGAAATACTGTACATGTATAGCTAGAGGGAAGGATGGATATATATATGTGTACACAAACACACAGATTAGGGGACATTTTTGAATTAATAGTCATTTCACATATGACTTACAAAATATATATGTAAATGAATATATAAACATGAACAAAAAATACTATAGCTCATTAAACAAAGGGCTGTAGGACTCTTGAGGTCAAAGCTATAGCTACAAAAGAAAAAGTAGGTGAAGAATTTTCTTGCCATTAGTCTTTTTAGCTATGCACAGAAAACAGTATCTTCAAATGCCAAACAAAAGTAGTAGATATGTGAGCACAGGTTAGGGTAGGAGAAGACTATGGAGAAGTCCCATCCTTCTTACAATGTAAGTCGGCAGAAATATTAAGGTCAGAGATGGAAAGGAAAAAAAGAGATCCTTCCATCCCCAAAAGAACAAACACCAAGGCAATTAGCAAGAAATTGTTAGCTCATAATATGGATAATAATATTCTCAAAATCTTCATGTAGTAAAATATGTAAAATTTCCAAGTTAGGAAAGAGATGAGGACATTCTTTAAAGTTCTGTTATGCAGTTAAGATAAGTCAGTATCTCATTAGGAAGATTCTACACCAAACATTTGCTTCTTGGAATTAGTCATTTTTGAATTAATTCCCATGTCACAATTTCTAATCACATTCATCAGCAGCTCATTGAGTGTCATATGTGGCTTACCGTTTATTTGGATCCTTTATCAAGAGCCCTGAAAGCAATGATTTTGCATCTGAAGAGAGGGTTCGAGGAAATTTAATGTCTTCCATTAGTATTAGTTCAAAAAGTTTCTCATGATCCTGGTTGTAGAAAGGTAATCTCCCACACATCATTTCGTACATGACAACCCCGAGGCCCCACCAATCCACAGCTCGGCCATAGTCATTATCTTCTAACACCTAGAAGTGAAACCAGTAGGCAATTAATTACTACACATTGACTTATAAAGCATTATTTATAAAACATAAAATTTCAACATAAAAAGTAAATCCTAACTTTCAAAGCCTAGATAGGCTACTCTGAGATTGTGACATTTAAACTATGAAGTATCCTACAAAAGATATAAATTATACCAAATATGTGAAATGTTCCATTTAGACCCAGAAATGGTCAGTGTACAAAAAAGGGGATAGGCCATCCAACAAATCCCAAGTGAATGAGTATATGAGAGTACTAGGGTCAATGAAAACTGCCAGCCTATTTGCCTGTTTTCTCTGACGCAGACTTTATTTTTCATTTTGGTTCCACTAATGTGGATTCTAAGTGACTCAGAGCTACACCATGCTGATTACAGAGCAGCATATCATGTGCTTTACTCATTCTGTATGGAGAAGAACTAAGTCACACAGATCAAACAAGGAAAGAGAGTAGTAAACAAAGACAGCGTAACTGAGAAGTGTACTGGGCATGGCAATCATGGCAATGAATTTGAAATTTTTTGTTGGAGGCCCCCACAAGTTTACACTTTTTTATGAAATATGTAGTTAACAAAGCAAATACGAAGGTTTATTATTTGGGTTGTAGTAAACTTAAGCGGCCAAAGCTTTAGTAACTACAAGAATTTCTGGTAAATGCAAACAGTAATAATCACGGATTCAATATCTAGGTAGTACGTCCTTGACGATATTTCCCAAAATACATTATGTGCAAAATAAATTTACTAAGAAATTATATGAAAGTATCAGGCTATGTTAGAGCAACCTGTCCAAACTGGAACATGACAACCTTCCATTTGTCCCAGGAAAAATTTAATTTTACTTTTATATTAGGTATGCATCTTATCCCATAGAATTTTCTTCATCTGTTTGGATCTTTCAATATTTTATTTTAAATCACTATATTTGAATAATCCTAAAGCTTATTTTATCTGATAATGATACCTTTGGTATAACATATCAAAAACCATAAACATGAAATTTATCAATTAAAAAATATCTTATAACTGATTGCATAAGACAATTTGATAAGAAAAAAGAAGTCTTCATGTTCCAAACTTTCTTAGTTTCAATTAAGTAAACATACTATTGAAGATTGCTTACCCCTTTGTGATTTTGATTTAACATTTACCAGTAATTTCATAGAATTGCATATATTTTTGATAGTCAATGATTACTATAAATACCATGAAAGGCACTATGGTAGACAGGGTATTTAAAGTTGGAGAACAGAAGTGCAAGAAAAAACACTGTTACTTACAAGTTAATTTAGTAGTGTTTTTCAAATGTTATGAAAAGACTTTTAATTTAGTTGTACCACTGTTTGTTTTGTACCTAAGGACAACGAGGGACAGTACTGGCACGACAGGAACACAAGTCCAGTTCCTATGTTTTTCCAAAAATGTTTTTTAAATAACAAACTTAAAATATTGTTGGGAAGAACAACAAATTTTAGTTTCCATCTTTTGCCAAAAATATTTCAAATTTCTACTTGTTTGAAATGAGTACTGTGAGAACATCCAGAAAACAAGAAGAAGGAATTCGACATGTGCACTGAAGTTAAAGGAAATGCTATACATGTAAATTTAAAAATATCAGTTATTTTGATTATTCAGAAATCTATCTCATGTCTAATTATTAGTAGTATGTGCTTGCTGTTTGTGAGCTTTTATCTAAGTAGATCCAGGATATTACCCAGTAACAAAAAATTTTTAAATGTTACTACATTTTACAACATCAACAAAACAGTGGCACATGAAAAAGAGCCAATGCGGTTTTTAACATCTTTTTTCATAAAAACATAAAAAGCATAAAAGCTGGATTAACTGCCTCCCGGACCCACGTTTCACCAGCCGGGTTCTCATCCCCAGCTGGCAAAACTGGCAACCCTTTATTTTTGTTTAAATACCTGGTTTGCAGCCAGAAGGGATAGTGAGTACATTAAAAAAAAAAAGGGTTTTATTTTTGAAGAGAAATAAGCAACTGAAAAATAAAACCGCATTGTAAAAAAACCTGTTTGATAAAATAAAATATATTTTATTTAGCTTTGTAAAATGAATACTGATTCTCAAAATAAGTGGTTTTGCCTTTAAACATACGTGCTTTAATTGATACATAGATACATAATGCTACAATTAGAACTGTTTGCTGTATTACTGTGTGCTGAACAATTCTGATGTATTATCTTATTGACATGTAAACTTCAGCAATGTTGAGGAGAAAATACCCTAACAACTCTGCCAACCCTGTTTGTCTAAAACTCTTTGCTATCAATTAAACAGAAAGATTTCTATTCAACTCCTATCTCCAAACAGGATGAAATACACAAGAAATAAAAATATAAAAATGATTATAATATTCTACATGTAGATATATAAAACATGTTACCACTGTTCATACAACAGCATTTCTCTCCTTAAATCTATTTCAAAATACTTTTTTTTGTATTTAATGTACACAATATAATATTTTTGAAATACCTTAAACCAGAGTGAAATGAAAATTCACAGCCTTTGACATTACTTTTGGAATATAATTTTCCTCCCTTACTGAAAGCATTTTTTTCTCCAAATCACAGTAACAAATAAAATTTATACTCTTTAAGCTAAGAGTTGTTATATTTTCCTGGCTATATCTGATGATTTTTTTTCCCCAATAAAAAGGTTAATAATGACTTCATGGTTATCATGAAGGTTAATCCAAAGGGTAGGATAATTGATAATATAGAGGTACAACAATGGTAAAGTATATTTCAATTCTATTACAATGCTACTTATTATATAATTTGGATATAAATATAGACCAAAACCTGCTCCTAGAGAAATAATCCACTGAAAGGCTTATCTTGAATTAATCTTAAGCAAGTGTATCTTTTCCATAAAAATTGATGCTCTAAACTAACTCAGTGTTTAGGTATGATTGCAGACATGTGGTATTTCCTTCTATCCGTACTGCCCTCTGTAACCAAAGGTGGAGCTTTCCTTCATACCTCCATTTAACATTAATGCCCAAACAGAGATAAAGGACAGAAGGTGGTTTGGAACACTAAAAGAAATGTAAATGTTAAAAGTGATGAGAGATCACATCAAACCGACACTCAAAGAGAGCATAACATCTAAGAAATAAGGCTTAGTTTCACTTTGTCTATCAGGAGCCAGACATTTCTTCAGTTTCTGATATAATAAAATCTAAGATTTAAGGAGATCACAGCAAGTACCATTAATATTAATTTGGTAGTATCTGATGTAGACACTTCCATTGGTAAAACCACCAGATGAGTTAAGAAATCACCATGAATAGCCCTCGAATGGTTACTAATGTCAAAGAATGATTTTAAATAATAAACTATTTTAAAAATGATACTATTAATTAAAGTTCCCAATGTAAATATTTGGGTATTGGGCACTTTTAAAGAACATATTCACTTCAATATTCTTTTTACCAGTTAGGATTTACTGGGAGGCTGAAGGAATACCCCTCTCAGCTTGTTCTCTCAGCCAGGCCACACAGTCATGCACCCAAGGCAGGCAAGTATAAGGAGGCTATGTATGCCCTGGAGTGGCGTAGTGCTCAATCAATAATCCTGACAGAACAGATGGGGGAAAAAATTAAACATCTAAACAAACTGTCTGCACACCTATGTTGTGAAAGTAAACTGCGAACTTGGATGAACCAATTTACCACTAATTCAAAAAAAATTTCTTTTCTGGTAACCTTGTATTTCAGGTAACTGATAATGTTTGTATTTTATATATAAACACACATTTATATACTTTATCTTTTATGGAAATCCTTTATATATTCTTAACATCACAAGAATTTTTTAAAAAAATAGAAAAAAAGAGAGAGAGAGAGAGGTCTATAAATAAAACCTTGAATTCAGATTCTAAAATGTATCTCCACTTTGGGAGAAGTACGTATTTCATAAGAATTTCGAGTTCCATGGTTTCTTAATATTTTCTTCAGAAACATATATTTTATACCCAGTTCTTGGATGCTTTAATAATTAAGAGACAAAACTGTAAATATCACTTGCTCTGAATTAAAAAGCTGTAAGCGTTATGGCTATTTTCCTACCATGCACACATAAGTATTTCATACAGCTAACATCGTATTTTCAGAAACCATCTCTGGCTAGAATTGGCAGTAGTTCCAAACAAGAAAAAAGCTAAGTGGATACAATACTGGTGATTAAATCATACTTATTACATCTTCCCAGAGATTTCTCTCTTTCCTTTTTATCCTGACATTATGGGATTCCAAGCAACTAGATCTTTGTAATCCAAGGAAAAATAGCCATTGTAAAATACTATAGGTAATCACTTGTGTTCCCAGTTAGGGTGAGTTTTGTCTATATTCTTATGCTTCAGAACATTAAAAATTATTATATTATTATAACATTTAAATTTTAAAATAAAATCTGTGCTTAAACTAGGCTCATTCCAAAGCACCGAATGCAAATATTCTGACTATTAAAGCTGTAAGACCCTAGACCCTATAGCACTGAAAAGAAGTTAAGGTGGAAAATAGCTACTGTAAGAACTGACAGATGTCTGAGAAAGTAAAAGCCACTACTTAACAACCTTTGAGAGACCTTAACATTGAACTAAAAAATGCCGTTTTAGTTCATACTTAAACACTACTGAATTTGGGGATAAAATGGGATGGTTTTTAATATCCAGAAATAGTACTAATAGTAAGCCAACTCACATGACAGAAGTTCTTAAATATAAATTCTAACTCTAAAGCAGACAACTTCTATCTGAATTAATCACTATGCTCCTTTACTGAATATTCCCTTAATACTGGTGATGAGACCTTTTCAGAACCGTTCAGGAAGATGATAGTTTTCAAAAACACCTTAAAAGCATAAGTGTTACATGAATTATTAATAATTAAACATTGGGGATGTGCACAACTTTAGAAAGTCTAATAAGGCAACATTTTTGTTTTAACAAAAAGCT